TTTCAAGTAACAGCTATATATATCAGAGTAATAAGCTATGTGCTACTAAAATTTATGGATGCAGGTATGCTGTGTAATATAAATGTAACAAGTAAAAAATGTAACAAATTAAGAATTATGAATTATTTTATAGATACAGGTATGCTGTGACATGTAGAGGTAATACGTTCGGAGTTAACTTCCATTGGTACAGGTGTGTTGTGGATTGTATAGACGTAACAAGAATTATTAACTTTTACAGAGAGAAATAACTAATATTTTTTATAAATATGGGTATGGTGTGGACTGTGTAGGCCTAACAAGAACTATTAACTTTCATAGGTATGGGTATGGTGTGGATTGCATAGATGTAACAAGAACTATTAACTTTATAGGTACAGGTATGGTGTAGATTGTATAGACGTAACAAGAACTATTAACTTTTATAGTTATGGGTATGGTGTGGATTGTATAGACGTAGCAAGAACTATTAACTTTTATAAGTACAGATGCGGTGTGGATTGCATAGACGTAACAAGAACTATTAATTTTATACGAACAGGTGTGGTGTGAATTGCATAGATGTAACAAGAACTATTAACTTTATAGGTACAGGTATGATGTGGATTGTATAGACGTAACAAGAAATATTAACTTTATAAGTACAGTTGTGGTGTGAATTGAAGACGTAACTAAAATTATTAACGTTAACAGGTACTGGTATGTTATGGATTGTATAGACGTAACGAGAATTATTAACGTTAACAGGTATGGGTATGGTGTGGATTGTATAGACGTAACAAGATCTATTAATTTTATACATACAGGTATGTTATGGATTGTATAGACGTAACAAGAATTATCAACGTTAACAGGTATGGTGTGGCTTGTATAGACGTAACAAGATCTATTAATTATATACGTACAGGTATGTTATGGATTGTATAGACGTAACAAGAATTATTAACGTTAACAGGTATGGGTATGGTGTGGATTATATAGACGTAACAAGATCTATTAATTATATACGTACAGGTATGTTATGGATTATATAGACGTAACAAGAACTATTAACGTTAACAGGTATGGGTATGGTGTGGATTATAGACGTAACAAGAATTTTAACCTTTAGAGATACGAGCAATTTATGTGTTTATAAATGTAACGTGAGCAATTGACATTTTGGAAATATGGCTGTGCTATGGAAGGCAAGAGTAAAATGATCAAAGTAATTAGTATCTATATAAAGATCTATGCAGCAAGTTAAAAACTCCTATCAAGTAGCAGCAGATTGTTCAACAAAAACAGATATATAGAAAAAATAGTTATTGTTATAGAAAACTGGGCTTTACTTATTCATATCTACTTAAGTACGAGATTATTAAATTCAAGAACATATACAAAAATAATCTGTCTTAAAAATGTACACGAAATACCTTACACTCGTAATCGTATATATGTATACACGGTTACAGTTGGGGGTAGAGAAATAAGAAATATTTTTTTTATTTATGAATTGTATTTTTCGTGCACAATGAAATATACACACACGTTATACAAAAATATGTCACCCTGCATGGATGCAATAACAGTTGTTCACCAACCTGTAACGATCCACAGAGATTTAGAAAAAGAGCCTTAGAATATGTAATGTGATACATGTATTATAATTTTTTTTTATTTCTATACACATATCTCATTTCCTTTAGCTTTCTCTACTTCTGTTCACCTACACCCAACCAGCAGGGCGAGTTTTTAGTACAACTGTAAAGAATGTCCAAGCAGAGTTTCCTTGAAACATGTACGTTATATTGGCTTAGAGAAACCGAGGATAAAATGTGGCGTGTTTTTTAAACAATTTAGACGATTCAGATGAATGATTATCAACTATTTCCTGTACCTCAAAGAAACAGTTCAATATACACATGAAAAACTATTGATAGGTTTATTAAAAATATTTGAAATATATATATAAATATATGGCTAGATGAAGCGTGTTATTAATTGTACATACCAGTGTCGGTTGCAAGAAATTTAATAGTATTCCAGGAACTAGACAAGTTCGATCATTTGGGTGAAATATTAGAAGCTAAAAACAGAACGAAATCACAAATTTGATTACGCTTTTGTTTTCTTCGTATGGTGTCTTATAAGAAGTATTTGATAAATATATAAAAACGTATTTTATGCATTAAGTGTATAGTATTTGCTTTGTTAACTAGTTTCATGTTTATTTTATTTTTTATAAATAACGGGATAAATTATGACTGTCTTTATCAATTCCACCACTAACCTTTTTATTTTACATAATGTACAGTTTGATTTAGTAAGGTTTCAACTTATAAGAGTTCGGTTACTGAGCATAAAACAACATTCAGGAGGAGTTTCACTTATTTCTAACGTTTTTTTTAAACAACAACAATATAACTCTCAAAACGTTGTTAAACTAAGTCTTACATGCATTCATTCCACAGACAGGACATCCTCTTTTCATCCTTGAGCACATTTAAATATTTACAAGTACTTATAATGAATTTACAACAAGAAGAAACACAACGACAAAACAGTGTTATTAGCAATACTTAATCTTAATAGGTTATTACTTTAGCACGTTTCTGTTGTTAATAATGTCCAACCGCTATAAAGGTAGTAGGTAAAAGTTCTCTTTTTACAGTATCAGCAGTTTGTATAAATATATATTTACAAAACAGCTGATACTGTAAAAATATTTGACTTTATGTATTAAAAGCCTGTAACTTCTCAAAAGTATCAAATGTACCAAGTACAGACAGTAGAATGTATTATTGGAAAAAAAAAATAATTTCTGGCGTATTTTAGCTTATAAAATGTTTTGAAGTGAGCTATTCTAGCTATCTCAGGTTTGAATTCATGTATTATTTGATGTTTACCGTACTGAGTGTTAAACTATTTTGGGATAACAAACAAGCTAGTGTAGGTGAACAGAAGTAGAGAAAGCTAAAGGAAATGATATATGTGTATAGAAATAAAAAAAAATGATAATACATGTATCACATTACATATTCTAAGGCTCTTTTTCTAAATCTCTGTGGATCAGATATTTTCAGCAATATTAGCTGTGCTATTGAGTTTGTGTAACCTTTCAGTTTTAAGCATACTAAACGTTTGTTCGACAGGGGTTGGACAAAATGATGGAAATATCTGTTAATTTCTACTTTTAATTCATTAATATGGAGTTGGCTCACCACAAGCAGAAAATACAACATTAACACAATGTAAAATTGATGACACACGTGTTGTGCATCAGACAGTGATATTTTAGACCATTCATCGATGAAAGCTGTTGGTTGTGGAAATTTGTTTCGAAGACTGGTTTAGATTTTGTGACCAAGTTATGTGTCCTGACTCTTCATCACGTTCTTCGAACCGATCTTTAACAGTTTAAACTGGTGCCCTCTCTTCCTGAAACAGATAAGCTTCGGTTTGGAATACAAATATAGGACGAACCCGATATGTAACAAGGTTTCAGTAATCAATTACTGTCACTTTACCTTTGAGTGAGATCACAGGTCCTACATTATTTCAACAGAAAGCTGTCAATATAATTACCATGCTTAAATGATAGCATAAGACACTCAGGGTGGTAAACTTCTATTGGTTTGCACCACAAATGAATGCATCAATAAGATGGGAAACTGTAAAATATGGTTGAGCTTCGGACCAATTTTTGTGTTCTGGAGACAATTTTACTGCAGTTTTTTGCATTTTTTGGTGTTATTGGAGGTCAGCTTATGTAGTTCCCTTCGAGTTGTTTTGACAGAGTTCAGTTGTTTCAGGCTAGTGTTAAGTTCTGCGTTCTCTTTCAACGTTGTAGTCTCGTCTCACTATTCGTATTAATGTTCGTTTGTCACGACCTGTTTTCTACAACGGTTATGTTTATATGAGGTGGTTTTATACTTTGATATCAATACCGAAATTAATTTCGATACTGTTCCCCTGGATACACTCAGTACTTTAAGTGTTCGTGTTATTCACTTGCGATCATGCATGCACCTTTGGAAATCTGACAGACATACATTTTCAAAACTTTTCTCTGAAAATGAATAATGTACTATTCATATACTAACAAATTCAGTGATACAGAATAATTTAGTGGACAGTTCAAATTATCACATGAATACATTTGCCTCTTTTGAAGACTCCAAAACTTACAGGTAAAAAGTGAGATGTTTCTATTATTTTGGCCAACTCCTGTAAGTTTAAATTAGTAACTCGATTGTTCCTATTATTCGTTTAAAACCAAAAAGAAACTAAGTATACATTTGTATCAAATTAACAGTCACTTTCTGTGTTTACACGTAATACAAAAGAAAATACTTAGTTTATTTTGATATTTAAACGTAGTTGTAACAGTCACTTTCTGTGTTTACAAACTACGTTTAAATATCAAAATAAACTAAGTATTTTCTTTTGTATTACGTGTAAACACAGAAAGTGACTGTTAAAACTACGTTTAAATATCAAAATAAACTAAGTATTTTCTTTTGTATTACGTGTAAACACAGAAAGTGACTGTTACAGTTGAGTGGCTGCTACAACTATATACACTTAGATACAGAAAGTAACTGTTAGTATATCATATATACAAATAGTAAAAATAGTAAATAGCTGTTTCAATTATATTTAAACTCACAAATCTACTGTTGCAGCTAGTTTAAATACGCAGAATAATTATGATTATTACTACAATATGTATTTATATATCGAATATGAATATTAGTTTGACACATTTAAATAGAGCTTTTACATGTTAGCTGATTTTATGCTTAATTTAAATACACTAAAATATTGTTACTACTATTCACTAAGATATGTGAAATGTCTGTTGTTATTAGAGATGTTTACGGTAAATGATTGTTGCTGATGTGTATATAGAGAGAGTAACGGCTGTTATGGCTATGATTAAACACAGAGTGATTATTACTGCTAAGTTTAAACAGAAATATTATTTATTATTATTATGTTTAAAGGAAGTCTCTTACTGTAACGGTTAGTCCCCCTTCTAAGTCAACAATATAATCCAGGGCTCGAATCCCACGGTGTAGAGAGTGCAGACAGCCTATTGTATGGCTTTGCGCTGAAAAAAAAAAGCAAACTGTAACGGTTTGATACAGATGTTGAATGTATTTCTGTTGTTACGTTAAAATACAAAACTATGCCACAAATTTAAGAAATAATGCCTTATGTTAATACAGTTGCTTGAATACAATTTAATATATCTGTTCTTACAAAATAATACTAACGTAAGACATTACGGCGTCAAGATGTTGCAATGCAGAACCTGTATGATAAAATTATTGAGGATGTCATATCGACATGATTGTGATATTAAACCTATAATTATGCCTTTTCAGCCAACTTACACCTCACAACCCGTTACTCTGTTTATTAGAAGGTTACAATAATGACTGTTAATTTCATACACAAGACACATCAACAATTCAGGAAAATTCAAAGCGACTGAAACAATGATTTGATATCACTTTATCTTTAGTTCCAATACGAAGAGACTATTTTTACGGGGAAGTCAGTATCAGGATTTTTTGAAATACTTTAGTGTAACATTTCATTGGCTAGATTTAAACAAAGCTGTGACTAGTATTCTCTAACAGAATCATGACTCGTATAATACATATAATCTTGCTTCTAATAGTATAGTAATATATGGGCTGTTTAATAGCTAAAAGCCGCAGTTCATTGATTTTTGTTACATAATATCATGACTAATATTTATAACAGAATCACAATTCTTGGGAATTTTAATACTTGAAATCAAAATCCATTGGTTTTAGTTAGCCAAAACTGTTACCACTATTCTATAATTAAAACATTACTCCTGTGGTTTGATTATTTAAATCCACAATGTCTTGGCTCCAGTAAGATAAAACTAATGGTTTGTTCAGAGAAAACATAGACTCCCAAGGGGTTATTCGTCTGGCAGGTTGACACGATATGTTATACAATTGTCAAATGTTGGCAAGCGCAAAGCTACAAAATAGGCTACCAGTGCTCTGTCTACCGCGGGTATCAAAACCCGAGTTTTAACGTTATAATATTGAAAATTGTCAAAGAAAACTGTAATGTTATATTTTGAATACTTTATGCTAAGTATTATATAAAAAACAATGCAATGCTGAGAGTTTTCTGTTGAATTACCATACTTCATTAAACTAAAGTCAAAAACATTTCACGCATTTCAAAACTAGAATATATTAAAATCTAAGACCTGTAATGCTACAGATCGGAAGAAAATGGACTTAAAGAAAAAATTTTTTGAATACGCTTGTTCCAAATGTCTGACAAGTGTTTGTCAAAGACCACAAAAGAAATGTCTCTACTTTATGTCTGTCGCTATTTCACTGTCTTTCGTGTTTACATGTTAATTTCAGAGGCAACGAAATTAATATTATTTTGTTTTAAGCAGCAAAAAACCGCTTATTTCCGGAGTGTTTCTTTATATTAACTCATAACGTGAGAAACAGTTTATGAGTAAACATTTTTAAAATTAAAGGCATTTATCTATAAGGTTTACGATTCAAAACAAATTGTAATATATATATGTATACGTTATAGAATCACGGTAAACCTTTCAGATTGAGTTTTGGAAATACACACACCATAGTCTCGTGTGGTTAAACTAATCTAAATAGTTGTATATGATTATGTTTTTATTTGACGAAAATGGAATCTACTACTTACTCCAACTTGAATCACAATAACAATTAAAAATTTTGAGAATTTACTCTAGTTATAGTGCAGATTTCATTATAAACGTCTAACTTCACACATTAGGTAATAACTTTCCAGCAAGAAAATTAACGTTGTACAAGAGTATGATTTCATTATTAAAATAAGATTGTTACATTTGGGTTAAAACCTAAAGAACTGCCTAGGCTCAAAACTTTGTAAAATAAAAGAATTTTATAATCGGTTTTGAAATTGGATACTATATTAATTTTTGTTCTACTTTAAACAAAATAAATGAAATTTCTTTCAGCCAACAACCACAGAATTTGATCCATCAATTAACTATGAAAGTTGTATTGAACATAACATTCTCTCCTTAAGAACGTCACGTTACACTCAAATAGTGTTTGAGTTCCATTACTAGAACCCACATTTTAACATAAATTATTTCGTACGAGTTTTAATTCTTTCAGAATACTTTCTTGTAAAAATGCTTTAACTATGGATTTAGGTTTCGCAAAAAAAGTTTATAAGAACTTTTTATTTAAACTTTGCAGAATTTTCTCATACTACTTCGAGACATCCGGTATTGTTTAAAATTTACGCATCTTATATATATATTTATATTATTAAGTACGAGTACGTAATAATAGGGATCGTGATAAAACACAAAGGCGGCCATAAAAATCGCCTGTTTAAAACTACCTTTAAAGTGTCTGAATATTAACAATGACTAATTCACAATATTGGCTGAGCAAAACTAAAGCTTATTCTACTTATAAAGTCATCTAAATTGCTATGTACGTTTTTATAGAGTGAATTAAAATTTCATTATTTCAACGCATTTTCATCCAAGTAAGTAAGTAAGTAACTTTTCCAGACAAGCGTACAGAAAAAATGACGAACCTTATCGCTCTAATTCTTTCACAGAACTCTTCAGTCTGGGGACCCAATGATTCCTTTATTATATCGAAAAAGATACTATTATAAATATATAAGACGGACTTTGGGTATATAATTAGATTTGAGGGTAAGTTGGTAAAAATCCTGATGAGTAATAAAATCGGATCAGGTTACGCGCGCCCCACGCTTGGTATTACTATCGCACAAAAATATAGCTAATATAAAAGAAACAAATAAAAATAATAATAAAAATATTAATTTTATAAAGACAAATAGGGATCGATATATACGTAACCTAGCTAGCTATAGTAATATAGAAAGTTTTAATGCTACAAAAAGTATTGAAACAAGAAAGTCAAAACTACAAAAACTGAGTTACTTAAAATTTAAACCATTTTATCCCTACTTTGGCTCAGTGTAACATAAATACAGTGATTTACCATAGTAGGGATAAAATTTTAAAAATGTTCTAAGTAAATCAGTTTTTATAGTTTTGGCTTTCTTGCAATATTTTTTGTAGCATTAAAACTTTCTATATTACTATAGCTAGCTAAGTTACGTATATATCGAACCCCACTTGTCTATATAATTTAAACATTCTTTATTATACTTCTGATATTAAGAAATATTAAACACTGTACTTTAATCCCAAACTATTGAAATTATGCATTTGTAACTAATAATGGCTGGAGACGGCTTGAATGGGTAATGAAGAAAAACTTTAATATAAGTTTAACATAACAGAAAATGTACAACGTTTCGACAAGGTTTTGTCATCATCAGGTATGCATTTGTAAGTGACATGATGATAAGTCGTATTTTAATGAATATATCAAAATGATCATGTCAAAATAACACAGCTTAAACAGTAGGAGTTAATTAATAAACAGAACAATAACATTGTGGACTATATATTATATACATCTCAAAAACACAAAACAATAACAAGCGGAAACAATATACGTTATTATTTCTAGCAGTATATATTGTTATTCTAGATTAAGGAATTCATTGACCATTGCCGGTTAATGAATTTATTTATCTTTGCTTTATATCTTTTTAAAATAAGTTTATTTCATATAAACATTATGTGTAAAACACAATTAGCAGTATTACTTGATGTTTAATATCAGTATTGTTATTTTATATAAAATGAAGTTTAACAACGCTGTAACAATTTTACTATACAATTTGAGCTTGCACTGAGTCACGTTTGATTTCGTCTCAGAAATGAACTGTATTTAACTTTAAGCAGAGCCACACATTTTAAATCACTTCATAATAAATTGGCAATCGACCTTCCATTTTTTTACAACAATATTCACGTATAAGCAGTTATAATCCCGGACTTCAATACTGGGAAAGATTTAATAATCTTTCCCGTCTCTAGATATCAGTAAGTTTAAGTTTTTAAGTGTTTTCAATTAATGAATTGTTATTACGTTAACCTATATTTAAATTCAAATTACAGTTCACAAGAACAACAGAACAATTACGAAAATCTAATTCTACTTGATTGAAGTGTTTTATTATACATTGATTAAATCATTTGGATTTCAAGTATTGTTCAAGCTAAATTAAGCAATAATATTGTTATATACCAATGTAAACTTCAATAAAGCAAATTGGGTTAATTTGTTAAAAAACAACAACAAGAAATTGATTTCAGACAAGTTAATTTTTATACAGGAAACTTACACATATATTATTTGAATTCTTCTTCCAGAAACCGATTTACAACAAGGGATCATTAATATATAATCCAACAGTTCTGCTTCAAAAGTTCCGAAAATGAGCATTCAGCATTTTTTAGGCTCATTTTGGATATGTCTGTATGTAAAATAGTGTTAATTCGCATGTCTCTCATAACTTAAACCAATTATTATCAAACACTGACAGGTCAGTCAAGAACACCTGCCTTCTATATGCTCTATATAATTAACTTTCTATGCAGTGCAAGGGAGACTATATATATATTTTCAATCTATAAAGTATTTTAACGCATAAAAAATAATAAAATTATAACTGTATTTGGGCTGTTACGCTTAAAAAAAAGTGCTCGCAACATATGCTCTAACATTCTGAACGAACACCTTGAACTTTTTTGGACATCATCGATCAAAACAATAGCTATATTTTTCTTTAAAAACTATTCTACAAGACTGAAATTATATGGCCAACGGAAAGAACAATGCTACGTTAAAACTCTCGCATTTTGTAGAAATGGTAGTTAATACACCATAAAGTCGTATTAATTTCTGATGTTTAAGGATTTCATAATTACATTTTGTGCCAAATAATCAATTTAAAAACTTGATGTTTGCAAATATTTGTATTTCGAAAGATTCAACAGTATGATTAACAAGCTTATATATATATATAATTCAATGATAGTTTTGCAACTTCAGTAACATCTTACCTAAATACTTCTATTGTTTTCACTCTTCCAAAACTCCAGGTCTAACACCTTTCAACTCAGCGTTAATAATGATTAATCTATCTACCCATGCCAACCATTTTTTTACGTACCATTGAGAAGATTCATTTTTTCATACGTTGACTTTTATACTTGAACTATTATAGTTCGCTATAGATACTCTTCACTACTACATTCATACGGAATTCGTATAGAATACGACATGCAGTATTCAATAACTCCACAATGAAATGATGTGTTATTTGGAGCTCAAGCGTCAAGAACGTCACCAAATTTTGATATCATTCTTAGAACATAACTAAACGCCATCTTCGAAATTAGAAGAGCCTGTGAGACAGAAGAGGATAGTCGAAGAAAGGTAGACTGGTAAGCACGATTTCACCCCAGGCTACTGGCCAGTAGTGGATATAAACGGAAGAAGCAGACAATTTTACGCCATCAAATGGCGACAACTTTTTGCTGCAAAATTAGTGCAGGTAGACTGGAAATCGCAGCTAAGCGTTTGTAAAAACGTTAACAGTTTCGAAAACCGACGAGAATACAGTGCGGTGACACGCGGCACGAGCTGACATTAAAGTCACGCGTTGCACAAGGCCAAATCGATTAAGGAGGAAATCAGTTTTTGACGAGACTCGACCTCCTTTTTATGAGACAGGAAAGACTTAATGATGGTGTTTTAAGTTTCACCCTTACTATATATATATTTTTTGTACATGATACTTCACAATAAAATCCAACGTATCATAAGTGTCATTGAAGCTAGCTGCTACTTGGTGTAACATAAAAAAAAAGTGTACTGCTCTTCAAGGCTTGCATTCTTGTAATCCATCTAATACTCACATCCACAACATTCTCTGTAACCTGAAGTTGGCTAAGGGAATAAAAAAAGGAAAAAAAGTAGTAGCCTCAAGCTTTCTTTCTGGAGACACCACAAACCTAACATAAACTGTATAACAATTCTTGCAAACACTGTGGTTTTGAATACGTGAGAACAAACTTTTCAAACTGCAGTCACAATGAGTTCTTTTTTTTTGCAGATACACAATCAACTTGTTAGTTGATTCACTCCTTGTTTTTGCATGATCACTGTTTATTCTGCACTATAAAATCATATATATATATACTTAGAAATGATAGATGATTTCTCGAAAATGCAATATGACAGGACAAAGTCAAACGGCTTCTTTCTCTATGTATATGTGTTTGAAAAATGCCCATTTCTTTCTGTCTTAGCAAAAGGTGATATTAACAACTGTTTAATAACATTCACCGTATATAAAAAGATTCGGTTGATATACTGTAATAAAGCTATTATAACCTCTTTGTATGCCTTACGGTTATCGATGAGATATCCTAAGGATAGAATTTATCTTATCTCTTTTGCTTTGAAACACTTACGAAAAAGCAACGTTTAGTATTACAACGCCACCTGTCCACGAAATTCGCTACTTTTAAAGTTAAACAAATAAAAATATAATTATAAAATATTTAAATAAATTCTGAAAAATATGTCTAAAATGAAATAAAAATTATTTACTAGATCAAATCATTTACTGAAAATATAACTTAAAAAAATACAACTGAAATACACGCAACGTTTCGCTTGGTGTAGACTTAAATATGTTCACAACAGTGGGCACAGAGCGTGTATTTAAGTTCTCTTGCTTTCTCAGTTTTGTTGTTTTAATGAAGGGTTTTTTCATCTCTCAATATCGCCCACCCCAGTGGCACAGCGGTATGTCTGCGGAATTACAACGCTAGAAACCGGGTTTCGATACCCGTGGTGGGCAGAGCACAGATAGCCCATTGTGTGTCTTTGCGGTTAATTAGAAACAAACAATAAAGGATATCATTTATTAGTAGGACCTGGCATGGTGTGATGGTTAGGATGCTCAACTTGCAATGTTCGAATCACGGAAGGACAAAGTAGCCTAAGTGTTGTCTAACTGCCTTCCTTTTAGTTTATCATTTCAAAGTTAGGGACGACTAGCACGGATAACCGTCGAGCAGATTTGCAAGAAATTCAGGAAATAAATTAATTAATTAAGAATTCAAAGCGATGCAAAACTAGTGCTTACTAACAATTATTTTAAACATTTTTAAACGAAGTTAATTTTGCTACATTATAAAGATCACAAGGTTTCGATAAACAAAGACAGAAATATAATGAATATGTGAAATTTTAGATTATAGTGTCTTTGTATGTGTAATATATACGAAGTTTATAGTTAATATATTTTGATTGAGATTGTTTACGCAGTAACTATTTTTTTCGTGCATCCTGGCGGGATCTAAATAATCCTCATGATAAATAAGTTCTCCATGTTTAACATTTCTGTGAAGAATCTTAAATGAGTTTCGAAAACTCTAGTGAACATGCACAAAACTTTACTTTCAATGTTTTCTTGCGAGGGTCATATATTGGGCATTCAATTGACTAACAATAAAGACAAACGCTCAACACTAATTAGATTGAATTAAGGGTAACTTTAAACAGTAATAAATAACTTAATATGGTGGATTAGATTATTATGAGAATATCTTTGTTACCAGTACAAATAATGAATATTTTATGAAATTTTATTATTTAAATGAAAACTTTAACTCTACCCACTCGTAAGATAAAGAAAAATATGTGAAGTCAAGTATACCTTACAGTAATTATTAATTTTTAGCTACACCTAATAACATCTAGATATATAGATATAAACTTTAAGACTAATAGTAATTATTCAAACAAAACATTTTCATAACAGATGGCGCCACTCAATACGGAATCCTCTCCCTCTACCACAAAAACAAAACCAAATATTTTCGATGACGAGAAACACACTTTGAGACTAATAATGCTTGGAGACGACTTGAATGGGTAATGAAGAAAAACTTTAATATAAGTTTAACATAACAGCAAATGTACAACGTTTCGACAAGGCTCTGTCATCATCAGGTACTTAAACTTATATTACAGTTTTTCTGTATTACCCATTCAAGCCGTCTCGAAGGGTTATAGAACCAAATATTGCACCATAAGTTCTACAAATAACAGCCCAACTTATGACATAATAACGAAAATAATGTAAGAATGAAGACTTGCAGGTGATATGCTTGCAACGACTATTAAATTGTGCACATCGTTCTTTAGCGTATTGTCCGTTGCTTTTCTGGAGGCAACGTAACGACTTAACAATTTGTAAACTAGAACTATATTTCGACAAATAATAATTTCTTATAGATCACTTAGAGTTGTCCCAAATGTGAATGTTGAAGATCATCGACACCTAACTTATTTGATCTTTAATCTACTATATATAGCGATCATGTCCGAAAATAATGATTTTGTTTGATGGTGTAATCTATAATGCTTCACATAGATACCATTGATTATACCAAACACTATAACAACTATAACTCAGTTTAAAAGCAGAGCTGTGCGATACTCATGGGTATAAAGCAGAAAGAGTCATGTAAGCTACTCACAAGTTCTTAATTTTCAGGATAGTTCTATCATTTATATAATTAAAAATGTAATGGTTTGATGTGCGGTCCATCATTTGAGTTTAGCTACCACATCTCCCTCCACCCAAAATGAATTGCGTTTTTTACTTTTGGACTGTGAGTACATTATAAGTGAGACGGTCAAATTCCACTATTCGGTTAGACAACAGTAGCCTAAGTGTTGGCGATGGGTTCTGTTGACTAGCTGTCTCCCCTCTAGTCTATCAGTTAAAAGAACTAGGGATGTCTAGCGCAATTAAACCTTCTGTATTTTTCCGTGAACATCCGAAAACTACAACAATAAAACAAGAAAAATTATGATTTAAAAATCACTTTTATTACGCTAAGTTCTATGAAATAAAAAATAACATTAAGGCAACTTGGTAAATAGTAAATGAATTATTATAAATAAAAAAATAAACACACTTAAAAGCTTAATTTTGAGGACTATGGGATTTAGTACATCAGTAAAGGACCCAGATAATGTTAACAAATAACAATGGTGAGTTAAAAATGTTTTTCGATATCAGTAATATGATAAAAACAGTTGAAATGATAGATTCCATGGATGAAAATAAAGCCATAGTCGAATATAAAATAAAATACTTGAAATATTCTAATTTATTTTAAGTACGATTTTAACAAATATATTTCATTGAGTATTTAACAGTACTAACAAACTTACTAATTATCGAAGAAATATGACATTATTTCCGATAAGTAATATGGATTTAAGAAAGTACCATTTCAATGTCAAGAAGACTGTGCCACTGAAATAAATAACTCTTTAATTAAATGAGGATCAAATCGATTTCGCATTGTTTCTTCATCCTTACAAAACCTTTGATACATTAGATCAGATTATTCTAAATACCAATCTTCAAAATACTGGTATAAGGTGTAACACTAAAATGGTTAAGACATTATTCAAATCATAGATTTTTCACTAAAAATAATTTAGGTTTCAAAAGCTCGATTTTTATTTATACTGATAATATTGTTTCTTTAAAAATAATTATAGTATTAAGGATGATATTGACTGTATTCAAAACGACCTTAATAAAATCACTAGGTGGCTGTATAAAAACGATATATTTTAAAATGGTAATAAACCTAAATAGACGCGTTTTCGTTCTTTAAAAAAACAATTTTACTTAAAGTACTGTTACGTTTCTGGTCGTTAGTTAATTTTCCGTAAAAATTCTTTCCGAAGAAACTTTAACAATACAAGTCCTTTCTTAAATAAAACTGGTTTATTCTTTCTGAATACAACTTTGCAATACACTTAATTTCCACAGTCGCGCTATAATAAACGATATAATTCACAACGAACGTCTCACGTGCTCGACTCAACTGTCCGTATCTATCTCTGTATGCAGTTCAATTACACATTGTTGCCGTTACTTCTTTGGCGGCTAATATATACAAGACTACCGAATATCTAGTAGCCTCTCGAGACTTCAGGAAGGGATGTGAACGTTCGAAAATATGACGTGCTACTAGAGTCCCGTGACCCCCGCTGTCGTAACAGTACTATGGTTTCAAATTCGATGACGAGGAACGCACTTTGAGACTAATAATGGCTGGAGACGGCTTGAATGGGTAATGAAGAAAAACTTTAATATAAGTTTAACATAACAGCAAATGTACAACGTTTCGACAAGGTTTTGTCATCATCAGGTACTATGGTTTATGTTCATAATATATGACATGCTTCTTAAACAATTTTAATCTTAGTCCTTGCATTTGTTTTGTCATTGAAAATTATTTTAGAATTAACCCTCAGTTGAATTTTGTATATTAATTATATCTGTAACAGACCCAATAGTTATGCATTTATGATGTACAATTCACACTACAATACCCATTTAAGTACACGCAAGATATATTATACATTTCTGTGTGAGTCTGTTATACGATATGAAAGGTTACTACTTGGTTTTACTTACTACAATAAAAATTAAACTTTATGGAGGTATTATTGAAATTCTGTATAATATTAATTCCATTAATAATTATAAAAGTTATAAAGATGTATTTAAATCTTTACGCATACTCAGTGTTTCTGCTTTATACAAATAAACAGTGGCTCGAAATTGTTTTTCTAATAAACATTAAAGTTTGGTTAATTATTATATTTATGCTAGAAATAAGGTTTGATTACGT